CATTAAAAAAACAGAAAAGAAAGAAAAGACTAAAATGGATGTTAGAAGAAACTCTGAAACTTGCTCTTAAACGTTGAATACGTGAAGTCAACGGAAGAAATGAAGTAAAAGCGCTAAATGGAAAATTTAAAAGGACAGTTGGAGAACACAAAGTAAAGTATTAGTAATGATATGTGTGAAGACCTAGAGTTAGAATACCAGAAGGGAAGAACACATTCATCATTTCTCAAATTGAAAGAACTAAAGAAAAATTCAAGTTTCAACCTGCAATATTGAAGAATTCCATGAGCAAAATATTGAATGATGCAGGAAGCACTAAAAGAAGATGGAAAAACACACAGTCACAGTAAGAAAGAGAATTAGTTGATGTTCAACCATTTCAGGAGGTAGCATAATGTGAGGAACTAACTGATGGTACTGAAGGAAGAAATCTAAGCTGCACTGAGGACATTAGTGAAAACCAAGGCTCCAGGAATTGATGGCATGCAATTGAACTATATCAACAAACTGATGCAGGGTTGGAAGGAATTTGGAAGATAGCTACCTGCCAACCGACAGGAAGAGATCCATATTTATACTAATTCCAAAGAAAGGGGACCCAACAGAATGCAGAAATTATCAACCAGTATTATTATTAATTTCACATGCAAATAAACGTTGTTTGATGATTATTCAAAAATGGCTGCAGCAGTACATGAACAGGGAGCTGCCAGAAATTCAAGGTGGATTCGGAAGGGATGTGAAACAAGGGATATCACAGCTGATATCGGATGGGTCTTGCCTGAAAGCAGAAGATACAGAAAGATGCTTACTTGTGTTTATTGATGATGCAAAGGTACTCAATGCTGTGGATTATGAAAAACTGTGCATAACATTTTGAAGAATGGGAATTTCAAAACACTTACTTGTGCTCATGCAAAACCTGTACATAGGACAAGAGGCAGTTGTTTGAATAGAACATGGGGACACCGCATGGTTTAAAATCAGAACAGGTTGTATCCTTTCACCATACTTATTCAATCTGTATACTGAGCAACTTATTTGAGAAGCTGGACTATATGAGGAATGTGGCATCAGGATTGGCGGAAGACTCATTAACAACCTGCAATATGCAGATGATATAACTTCGCTTACTGAAAGTGAAGAGGACTTGAAACACTTATTGATGAAGATCAAAGAATACAGCCTTCAGCATGAATTACAATTCACTGCAAAGAAAACAAAAATCCTCACAACTGGACCAATATCATGATGAATGGAGAAAAAAATTAAAGATGTTAAGGGCTTAATTTTACTTGGATCCTCAGTCAATGCTTATGGAAGCAGCAGTCAAGAAATCAAAGGAGGCATTGCATTGGGCAAATTTGTTGCAAAAGACCTCTTTAAAGAGCTCAAGAGCAAAGATGTCACTTTGAGGACTAAAATGCACCTGATCTAAGCCATGGTATTTTCAACAGCCTCATATGCATGTGAAAGCTAGAATGTGAATAAGGAAGATGGTGAAGAACTGATGCATTTGCGCTATGGTGTTGGTAAAGAATACTTGATTAACAGAAGAACAAACAAACCAGTCTCTTGAAAGAAGTACAGTAGAATGTTTCTTAAAAGTGAAAATGGCGAGATTTTACCTAAGGTATTTGGGACATGTTACTAGGAAGAACCAAGCCCTGGACAAGGATTTCATACTTGGTAGAGTACATGGTCAGTAAAAAGAAGAAACCCTTAACAGTATGGATTGACAAAGTGGCTGCAACAATTGGGTCAAACATAACAGTAATTATGAGGATGGCGCAGGACTCTGTTGTGTGTAGGGTCACTATGAGTCAGAACCAACTCTGTAGCACAATAATAAAAACAACAACCACATTCTGTTTAAACAGTCATGGCTGAGGGACCTTTAGGTCGTTTCTACCTTTTGGCCATTATGAATGGTGTTACCACAAACATTAGTATACAAGATTCACCACCTCCTTTCTGAGTGCAAGGTACACACCGAGTCTAAAATTTATATGAAAATGCATGAAAAAAACTTGGAATATCTAAAGCAATCCGGAAAAGGAAGAACCAAAGAATCAAGTTGATTGAGTACAATCCCAGACTTCAAAACTTTGTATAAAGCTACAATAATCAAGATTATTATACAAGCATCAGGGTATATATGTAGATAAATATAACAGAACACAGAGCCCAGAAGTAGACAGACACACTTAAAAGGGTCATCTGAGGGTTGACCAGGCACAAAGCAATTCAATGGAAGGTCTTTTGAATAAATAAATGGTGCTGGTATAAGTGGATTGTTGTTGTTAAGTGCTGTCAAGTTGGTTCCAACCTATGGCAACCCAGTACAGGGTTTCTGAGGAGTGGCTGATAGGTTTGAATCGCCAACCTTGAAGTTCAAACTGACCTTACGGTCCAGCGCATTATCTTGCACTACCACACCAGGACTCTGGTATAACTGGATAGCCAGATGTAGAAAAACAGATCTTGAATTCCCCCACTACTTTATCTCATATATAAAAATTAGTTTGCAATAGATCATATATACAAATGTAGAAGCTGAAACAATAAATCTTTTAGGTGAATATCTTCAAAGATACAAGCCAACTAGATAGATAGGATCCAGAAAGCAATAATCAAAAAATAAAGATTTGATAAATTAGACTTTATCAAAATAAAAACACTTCTAAAAGACACCATTAAGAGTGAACAGTTAAGCCACAGACTAAGAAAATATTTGTAAAATGTCTATCTGATGAAAGACTTTTATCTTGAATACACCAATTGCTCTTAAAATTCAATGGTAAAGAAGACAAACAACCTAGTGAAAGATGGGCAAGATATCTGAACAGACCTTTCACCAAGGAAGATATCTGAATGAGAGGAACGTGAAAAGCTACTCAATACCAGTAGCCATCAGAGAAATATGAAGCAATACCTTTACATACACACAGCAAAGTGGCTAAAATGAAAAAAAAGTTACACCCCCAATTATTGAACGTGATGTAGAGCACCCACAAATGTTGGGCACTGTGGCGGAGAGTATAAAAAGATAAATGGTGGGGAAAAGACAGATAGTATTTCTAAATGAATTACTTTTCCTTGGGCTTACCATTTCTACTGCTAGATATTTACACAAGAGAAATGAAAACGCACCTTTTCATTCCTCAAAAAGACATTCAGTATAGGGAAGAAAGTAATGTGTCAAACTCTATACAACTATCCTGAAAAGCTTCTAGAATCTTCGCTGAGAGGTACTAGAGGAAGCCTATGCTGTCTCCTGATTTACACACACAAAGGGTTCACTGTAACCAGATAATTGGAAAAAGCCAACCTGCCATCAATAGAAGAATGGATCAAAAATACTCTGATGGATTCCAAACTAAAACTACCTCCTTGCTGCTGTGTCAATTCCCACTCAGTGACCCTATAAGGAAAGGGCATAACTGTCCCATAGTGTTTAAAGGCTGTAATCTGTATATAAGGAAGCAGACTGCCATATCTTTCTCCCATGAGTGACTGGTGGGTTTGAACTACAGAGCTCTTTTTTTGTGTGTTAGCAGCTGGGCACTCTAAGCACTGAGTCATCACGGCTTCTTCAGAATGGATTACTACTCATCAAAAACCAAGCAACAAACAAAAGCGCTGTGCTGAGAAAAACCTTGGAAAGAGTACTCATTGATTAATTTTATTTGTGTAAAGTTCTAGAACATGCAAAATTAATGTGAGATGGGAAAATATTAGAACAATGGTTACCTCTGGGTGGGTGGGGGTAGAAAGTGACTGTGAAGCCACATGAGTTAAACAAATACTGACCTTCAATGAATAGTACTCATGCTGAAGTGTTTACAAAGGCACTGTACTTATGTCTGCAACTCTGAATGCATCAAAGAACAAGAGAGATGAATGTGTGGTAAGCAGGATAGACATGTTATTGTTGTTGCTAAGTGCTTTTGAGTCAGTTCCGATTCAGAGCAACCTGTATAGGGTTTCTGAGGAGTGGCTGGTGGGTCTGAACCACAGACCTTATGCACGGTGCTGTGGACAGACACAGGATCAGGTGACAAGATGGACTGACACAGTGGCATCAGCAATGGGCTCAAACATAACAATTGTGAGGGTGCACGGTGCAGGACTGGGCAGTGATTCGTTCTGTTGTATATAGGGTCGCTATGAGTTGGAACCGACTTGACGATACCTAACAACAATATATATACACATATTTGTTGCTAAGTGCCGTGTAGTCAGTTCTGACACATATCAACCCTGCATTTTGGGTTTCCAAGGAGAACTGGTGGGTTTGAACTGCTGACCTTGTGGTTAGCAGTCCAGTGCTTTCCCTACAGAGCTGCACCAAGACTCCACATTTACATACAAATATTTACATATTTACCGGTGTTCTCTGAATTATCATTTCAAATGTTCTTAATAAAATGTTCAAACTAAAATGCTGGAGGGGAGGACGTGCTTTCTGTTGCCTTTAGAAACTGGAACGGAATTAATTTACATGAAATAAGTCATCAGGGGGTGCTATCTCAGAGTCATGGCTTAATCTTATTAACACAAGAAATAAAGCAAACCATCCCTTTTAATCACCGACATGAATTAAAATGCAGAATGACTTCAGCTTTTCATTCACCAGGAGACTTCAAAAAGTTTGTGGAAAACATAATGAAAAGATGATGTAATGTTTGCATGACATTTTGAAACCCCTCCTACAGGTTGACCTGGGCTCATATGACAGAAGCCCCCGTTTCATGTGTCATGACTCTGCTGAGATGCCTGCTTCCAATGGTAATAGTTTGAAATGGGCATCTGCCTTCACTCGAGTCTTTAGTACAAGAAAATAAATTTGTTGAGCTTGGCATCTCAGGGTGAAATGCAAGGCTCGTGCAATCTAATAAAATACAATGCGAAGAAAAACATGTTCCTTTAAGGAGTAGCAGTGGCCTACTAGATTACAGATTCAATCTGGAAGGAAAAAAAGTTTTGTGTCTTATTACCTTTATCAAGAGATGCTCCAGCCATATGGTAAAAGCTCAATGCAGTATCCACGTCATTAATATTCTTTAGGAAAGTAAAGAAGTTCTCTACCTCCTGAAACGTCAGGCCCTGAAAAAGCAAGTAGAGCAGAAACATGTTACTAAAAGCAGCACCAAGTGCAAGGAACCAGGCCATTATTTAAGCCTGTATATCAGAAATTTATGCTTAGGACCAAGACTGAATGGTAAATGTATAGATACTAGGGGAACAAAACCTCTAGAATTTATTCTGAGACAGGTAAATTGGCTAATTGCTTCCACCTCAAATGCAAAATGTTGCATACAGCTGCTTACAGTGAAGGATGGCTATCTGTAATACACGCGTCTCCAATCAGCGGAGTTATCCACGGTGACACTTGATCTGCTACACATCTCAACAAGTGAGACCAGCTTCAGGACTTCATTTCAATCATCTGCTCACAGGCCAGCTAAGCTTCCGGAGGCTTAAGGTAACTAACTAAAGAATCACCCAAGTTGGTTATCTGCAGGGGAAGGGCTTCAGTACTCAGCAGAGTCCTGGTGTGGCGCTGTGAGTTAATGCGCTGGACTGCAGAGTCGGCTGAACTGCAAGCTTGGTGGTTCAAGTTCACCAGCAGCTCCTTAGAAACTCTATACAGAGTCACTATGAGTTGGAACCGACTTGGCGGCACTTAACAACAACAAGTGCTTGGAAGCTGTTCACGATCTCAATTTAAAATCTACCAATGAAGCAATTCATCATTTAACTTCAATCTGAGAAAACCCAGGGAATGAAGAAATATTTTTCAGAACTGATCAAAGATGCACTGATCTGTTTCTATTTTCTTTTTTAAAATTCTAATTTCTAGTATGGCTCAAGAGAGAGTAGTTGTACACATAGGGGGCTTTGTTTTAAAGGAGAGCAAGTTGCTTCATTTGCCTATTTTTTGTTTCTCACACATGCTGTGACAGGTACGAATAAGGTTTTCAAGAAGTGATGAAAGCCTGGGAATGTCCAGAGATGCTGAGGTTAATTAATGCCTTCTAATGGAGCATCATGTCCTGAATGGAAGGCAGACGCTGACCCACTTCTACTGAGTGCATTACAATGCTCAGGAGCCCACATCAGGCACTTAGTCACAATGAAGCCTTAATGCAGACCATCTCCAGCTTCATGTGTTTGATAGTTCTTCCCTGACACCCCCCCCCCCCCACTGGGCCAAGCATCGTTCATTTTATCAGCCAGAGAGCTAAGTTATCGAATGTATGGTTCTGTCACATAGTCATTTTACGGTTTTCCCTTAAAACCACAAAAAGAAGCTCTGGTGGCATAGTGAGTTGGGCTGCTAAGTGCAAGGTCAGCTGTTCAAATCCACCAGTTGCTCCATGGGATAAAGATGAGGCTTTCTGCTTCTGTGAAGGTGTACAGCCTCAGAAACCCTATCCAGGGTCAATATGAGTCAGAACTGACTCAATGGCACACAACCACCAGCCCACCCCAATCACACAATTTTTTCAAACAGTTTTTATTGTGGAGTATACTGACGGAGTCCTGGTGTGGTGCTACAGGACAAGCACTAGACTGCAAGGTCAGTTTGAACCACAAAGTGGGTGGTTCAAACTTACCAGCCACTCCTGAGAAACCTTATTTATATAGGGCTGCTGTGAGTCTGAACTAACTCAATGGCACTTAATAACAACAACATAACAATAATAACCATACAGAAAGGAACTCAAAACTTAATGTACATGATCACAAAATAAACACCGGGAGAACCTCCATTAGGTCAAGAAACAGACATTAACAGCACCCCAGAGATCCCCTCCTCTCTAACATGTCATCTTCAGTCATAAAGTTCTCCTAGTCCTCAGGGTAATCTTTATCTTGACCTCTAGGGAATTCAATTCTTTGCTTTTCTTTATAGCATTATTACTTATTCATGCATCCTAAAACAGAAACAGCATAATTTTTTTCCCTTCTGTTTTTGAACTTTAGAACTGAAATCATGCAGTTTGCATTCTGTTATATGGCTTCTCTTTAAGATTTCTTTGTTCATGTCTTTGTGCATACCTGTATTCAATTCACTTTTATTGCTATAAAGTATTCCATTGTGTAAATAGATCACCATTTGTTTATCCAGTCTATTGTTGATGGCTATTTGGGCTGCTTCCAGTTTGGGTTTAATTAAGAACAGTAAGGTATTGGATCCAAGTATTCACTCAAATGTTTATAAAGTACCCATTGTGTACATCAAGCCCATAATTTTTGGCAGTGAACTAGAAGACCTATATTCAATAAGATATCCCTAACTTGAGAAATGTAGATGATACAACCTTGCATGTTGAAAGTGAAGAGGATTTAAAATATTTACTGATGAAGATCAAAGACCATAGCTTTTGGTATGGGCTGCACCTCAATATAAAGAAAACAAAAATCCTTACACTGGAGCAATAAATAAGCTCAGGATAAATGGAGAAAAGATTGAACTTGTCAAAGACTTCATTTTGCTCGGATCAACCATCAACACTCATGGAAGCAGCAGTCAAGAAATCAAATGACATATTGCATTAGGCAAATCTGCTGCATAAGACCTCTTTAAAGTGTTCAAGAGCAAAGATGTCAGTTTGAGGGCTAAAGAGCACCTAACCCAAGCCATGGTATTCTCATTGACCTCATATGCATGTGACAGTTGGACAGTGAATAAGGAAGACCATAAAAGATTTGATGCATTTGAGCTACGGTGTTGGAGGAGAATCTTAAAAGTACCATGGGCTGCCAAAAGAACAAACCAATCTGTTTTGGAGGAAGTACAGCCAGAGTGCTCCTTGGAAGCCAGGATGGCCAGTCTTTGTCTCTCATACTTTGGACATATTATCAGAAGGGGCCAGTCCCTGAAGAAGGACATCATGCTTGGTGAAGTGGAGGGTCAGATAAAAAGAGGAGGACTCCAATGAGATGGACTGGCACAGTGCAAGGCAATGGACTCAAGTATAGCAATGATTGTGAGGTTGGAACAAGACTAGGCAGGGTTTCATTCTGCTGTGTACAGGGTTGCTATGAGTCGGTACTGATTCAGTGGCACCTAACAACAACAACTTGAGGTCATTCTCTTGACTTAGAGAGTGCACAGGATAGGGTTCATTCCTTACAAGGATGTGATACTATGTTACCTAATGTAAGTGCTAGGCTAGAATGAAACTCATGGAGAAGAATCCCACTGGACCAGAAGTCCAGGATGCTTGAGGATGCATCCACTGGTACCATTTTAATTTTCTCTTCATCAAAAGTTGTCCTATCTAGAGAGAACAAACAAGATGGCAGATTGGGTAGATGTGCAGTAAGGAGCTCCATCAGCAACAACACAGAATACCAGACCAAGCAGGCTCAGGGGTTGGTGCCAGAACTCTGAATCATGTATAAAGGAATATTTAGAAGGTTGGAAAACTTACAGCTAAGGGAATTGGTAGCAGAAGGAAGAAATCCATTGCTTTCTAATTCAAGACACTCAGCTGCTCCCAGAGCTGTCATCTTCGGTGAGACTGAGCAGGGAAAGATCAGAGTAGCCACGGACGCTTGACAGAACCACAGAGGTAAAGGTGTGGACCCTCTTTTTTTATTTGTATCTGTTCATTGATCTCTCACTCTCTGCGCACCTCCATTCGGGTGACTAGAGGGGGTGCCTGAG